CAGTATGTAAAGAGAGAGGGAATTTAATTAACTTGTCAGTCACAGATATGATCCACCTCTTCAAAATCCTAAGTTATGCGCTGTTGGAATTGGAACTCTCTCTTGCAAAAATGGGGTCAGCACTGAGTTTAAAAAGCCCTGCTGCATTTAAGTGTCTTCCTCATATGAATCAGAGCAGGACTTCTGGATCTGGGATGTTTGTGCCAGTTTGGATAAGGTGCAGATTTCCAGGCTGTTGACTTTGTTTCTCTGCTCACAAATGCTGCCAGACTGGCTGAGAGTTTCTAGAATTTTTTTTGTTTTTATTTTGCTGTAACTCAGTCTGTAACCACGGATCTGTGGGTTTGCCCCAGCCACAATTTCATCATAACAATTTGAATTCACAATCTCCGGGTTACAATCCCAGTGCTTCAACCACAATATGACATCAGCGAATTAAAACATGCTCAAGTACATTATAGCCTAATTTTCAAGGTTCACGTAAAATCATTGAATTTTATGGTGTATAAGGGTTTTTTTTACTCCATCATGTTAATGCCAGCGCTTTTAAAGAACTATCCAACTAGAATCACAAGTCTTCCCTCAGAGCTCTACATTTCAGAGGCCCATAGGCTGCTACAATGTGACAGAGAGAGATAACTAATGGTACACTTAACCTTAGGACCATCACACCTCAGGCAAAGGGGCAAGGTTGAAAAGAAAAGGCCTTCGCAGTGACCTCAGCCAATTTGGGAATTCAACGCACGCTGTTGACATCACATTGTTTCTCCCAAGTTTTTATCCAATTCTCCATTTAAAAGTAACTATTGAATCTTTTTTCATGACTCTCTCAGGCAATGTAGTCCAAGTCATAATGACATGTTCTATGTCAGAACTTAATCAACCATGTAATAAAAAAAAACCTGTGCCTTTCTAACAGGTCAGATTAGCAATCATTGATAGGGTCTTCTCCATTTATGAAGTACCTTGTATAAAGGAGCATATATTGTGACCAGACAGATAAGAACATAAGAACTATAAGCAGGAGAAGGCAATTTAGCACCTCAAGCCTGTTCTGTCATTTAATACAAACATGACGGATCTCATCACCACCTCAACTCCACTTTTCTGCCAACTCTCAATAACAATTCCATTCAGTTCCCAGTCGGAGCCTCATCAAGGACAGGCTGTGGGATCTCCCAGCAAAAGGAGGGAAAGATCACAGGGACTCGTTATGCCAACCAATCCCTGACATAGTCATCTTATGCATTAATTACTTTTACTTTTAGTGTTCAGTCTGCATCCATCATTTCCAATTCCCTCATTTAAAATGGACACATTTCCAGCTTCAGAAAGCTGTCCTCTCACTGAAATCTTAACTGATCTATATCCCCAACTTCTCTTACTCACCTTTGCCCCACATCCTTCATTACCTAAAGTCATAGAGTCATACAGCATGGAACTCATTGGTCCAACTCATCCATGCCAACCAAGTTTCCCAAACTAAAACATTCCCTTTTACCTGAATTTGGCCCACATCCTTCTAAACCTTTTCTATTCATATACCTGTCCAAATGTCTTTTAAATGTTGTAACTGTACCCACATCTATCATTTCAGGCAGTTCATTCCACAAACAGCTCTGTGTGAAAAAGTTGCCCCTCAAGTCCCTTTTAAATGAGGAGGAGGAGAGGTAGGGGCTACAGATTTTTGCCAAAACTTTGAGTCCTTTTAAATCATTCTCCTTTCATTTCAAAAATATGCCCTCTGGTTTTAAACTCCCCTACACTAGGAAAAAGACCTTGGCCATTCACCCTATCTACGCCCTTCATGATGTTATAAACATGATGTTATAAACCTCCATAAGGTCACCCCTTAAGCTCCTATCCTCCATCAAAATTGTCCCTGCCTTTCCAGCGTCTCCTTATAACCCAAACCCTCCAGTCCTGGCAACATCCTTGTAAATCGTTTCTGAACCATCTGCAACATAATAACATCCTTCCAATAGCAGTGTGGCCAGAACTGGGCACAATACTCCAAAATTGACCTCAACAATGTCTTGTTCAACTGCAACATGACATCCCAACTCCTACACTCAATGGTCTGAGCAATGAAAGTAAGCGTGCTAAATGCTTCCTTCACTACCGTTAAACACCTCCAGTTAGATAAACAACTGATAGAGCATCAGTTGCTATTTGCACAAGATTTCCAAACTGCCACAACTGTGTACCTGCATATGTGTGGTATATGCACATGTAGAAATAGTTCCTGACTGCGCTCCTGAAAGGTTTGGTTCTATTGTGTAAGTGGAGGTCCATTGGCCTACACTCACAGTCAAAGGAAATAGATTCTCACTCTCTGTGCTATTGGTTACCATTAATAGCTTGTAAACTGCAGCTGACAGGTTGTATGACAGACAGCGACCTGTGGTCAGAAAGAAAATGAATTAAAAGATACAAAATAATCTGAAATCTCCTCCCAAAATTGGTGTTATTTTTGTGGCATTGTTCCTTTCTGTACTTGTAAAAACCCAGCTTCTTGGCAAAAAGGAAAAACATTATAAAGTACAGAGCATGCAGTGGTGGAAACCACCTGTCAAGTGGACCACAAAATTCCAAGAAGCAACCCAAGCAGCTCACTGTGTAACCAGCACCTTCTGTAAATAAGACACACATCAAAAGGTAGGGTGCATAGATTTGATGTATCTACAAGCGATAAGGCTGTGCACAGAAGTCATTAACATCTTGGTCAATATGAACCGCTGTAATATTTCAAACCCTGTGCTGTAAAACTCTCTAGAAGCTAACTGAATGAGAAATAAGAATTTCTGGTGGAAATTTCAGAGAAAAGTGCCATTTGGCTGCACAGCTGAATTTGCTTCCATTGTTAAATAACTCCACAGAGGCCAGTATCCTGTCACCAAGTTACCCTTTCATTTACACATGCATGGTACTTGACACTGATCCAGCTCAGTCAGAGCCAGCTCTCAGAGTGAACAGAACCTCTTACACTCCTGTTTATATCTGTCAGCCAGTGCTCCCTGATTGGGCCTGTTAACCTGGTCCAATCAGGGAACTCATGTTCTATGAGGTCCACCTGGCTGACCTTGTTACAATCACTACACATTGCACTTGACATCTTTATTTGTTTGTAATCGCAACAACAACTCCATTTCTTCTGCATTTCAAAACCCCTGTCATAAAAACAGGCCATGCCCCAATGCTTTCACCCTCTTCAATTTATCTTTGGATAGTTTCTGGCTGTGAGCTTTGGACAACACTCAATTGAGGGAATCACATAAGAAAAGCCTCACCACACTGTCTCCAGGACAATGAGGGACGGGCAATATGTACTGTTCTGGCTAACGGCACCTATATCCCATTAAAGAATACAAAAAAGAAAATCTCACTCCATTACATTGACCCTTGTTGGAGGCACATGTGTAAAGGAACTGGATGTGGATGCATTCACTCTGTCATCCATGTTTACAGAGTCTGCCAGCATTCACTGTAAAGGAGCACACATGTATAAAGCCAAACTGTGTGAGGTGCGAAAGGCTGTGCCTGTTAACTGTATTTCAGTGAAGGAGGTAATGCTTTCATGAGAAAGTGGGGAGGGCTGGTCAGACCTTCAAAGAGGCAGAACACAGCAAAAGAACAGATTTCACTGCACTAAACCTAATTCTTCATCCGTCAAATAACGAAGGACACAGAAATTGGCATGAAGAAACAAACTGTCTCCGGTAAAAGGAGAAGGGGCAGGAAGACGTGTGAAGTCAAGACCTGTTTCAAAACCAATTACTACAGTTGCAGTTCAAGAGTATTTTGCTGAGTTAGGTTGGCATGGTGGCTCACTGGTTAGCACTGCTACCTCAAAGCACCAGTGACCCAGGTTCAATTCCGACGTTGGGCGACTGTCTGGGTGAAGTTTACAGGTTCTTCCAGTGTCTGTGTAGGCTTCTGCTGCACAGTCTGGTTTCCCCTCACATTCCAAACATGTGCAAGTTAGGTGGATTGGCCATGCTAAATTGCTCATCGCATTCAAGGACGTGAAGGTCAGGTGCATTAGCCATCGGAAATGCAGGGTTACGGGGAAAGGGCAGAAAACTGGGTGTGGATGGGATGGTCTTCAGAGGGTCTGTGTGGACTTGTGGGGCTTTACTGGCCTGTTTCCACACACTGTGGGGATTGTATGATTTGTGAGGCACTTTGTGAAGTTCTAAGAGATGGTAGAGAAATGAAAATTTTTGCATGGTCACTTCACAAAGGGAACAATCGCTGTTAAAAAGTTATGAGTTGTCACAGCACCGTGGTACCCAGATTTTTGAGCTGTTCTGATATGGTTAATAAAAGGCATCTGCGATTGGCACACGTCCATCCAGCACAGCCATTCATTTAAACAGGTACCTGAAATGTCACTTCCAATTTTCTCTCCACATTTGCTGCTGAGTATCTCCAACCCATGTTGGTTTTATTTCAGATTTGCAGCATCCGCGACATTTGCTAATTATTAGATAATTATTTTAAAATGTAATGCTATGACAATTAGCTGGTTAGGTGTGAGATAAAACAAGCAGGATTATAATTAACATAAGGTGTGGGCTAATAGTAGCAGTAATTTATTGTTACATGTATTCATGAAAGTACAGTAAAATGTGTAAAAGTCACCATAAGCTTGCAGAATTTTAATTACATAAATTATAAAAAGAAGTAAATCATACAAAGTTAAGGTAAGTTACATTTTTTGTTCCATACACAGCTTCTTGATTTCCTAAGTGGCTATTTTTTCCCCTTTATTCATTTACAGGCTATGCAAGCATTTGTTGCCCATCCCAGAGGGCAGTTAAGAGTTGACCACATTGCTGTGGGTCTGGAGTCACATCTCAGCCAGACCAGATAAGGATAGCAGTTTCCTTCCCCAAAGGTCATCAGTGAACCAGATGGGTTTTTCCCCAACAATCGACAATGGATTTAATGTCATCACTAGAGTCTTAATTCCAGATAGTTATTGAATTCAAACTCCGCCATCAGTCATGTCAGGACTTGAACCCGGGTTCCCAGAATGTTGTTTGGTTTCCGGATTAACAGTCTAGCGATAATACCACGAGGCCATCGTCTCCCCTATAGGATGTCACCACATTCCACAGCTACCAAAGTTGTCGCTAAGGCTGCAACACCAAGGAGGAAGCACGCTGAGGGCAGCCCCCACCCACCGCTGACCAGACCCAGAACGCCATCTCTGCCAATGCTGCCTCATCACCGCTGATACTCCAGCCACAGCTATAGCTGGGAAACTGTCGTACCTCTCGAGGACCGGGGCCCATCTCGGCTTCCAAGACCCAATTGACCGTCCAAATTAACTCCCGTGGAGCGAGAGGCCATTCACTCCTCCGCCAAAACATCAGAGGAAAAGAACGGACCCCAATCCATTGAAGCTGGAACAGACGCTCAAGAGGTGACTGCCATGACCACGAGGAATAGACCGGATCTTCTGCTCAACATCTCCCCGCAACCTCTCTCCACCACCGCAGCTGCAGAAGGAATGAAAGATGAATTTGATTCAAAAGCTAAATGAAGAAAAATAAAAAAAAGGAGGATGCGGTCAGTTGTGCGAGACGGAGCGGACGGGCTGGGAGCTCAAACACCCCCTACACTGCCGCCTTCATCATCTTGAAAATATTCATGATATTCCAAGATATTGAAGATATTCCATCTTGAAGGCTATTGAACAACTTACAGTTCTTGTATCTGTTTGCACTGTATATAAGAAATGCTCTTTAGTCCCTAATTATATATCAATTATAAATTAATTAAGTGTGCAGCTTGATGTATTGAACTATATTGCACCTGAAACAAACAAACATAGTACAATTATGACATTTAAAAGGCATCTGGATGGGTCCATGAATAGGAAGGGTTTACAGGGCTATGGGCCAAATGCTGGCAAATGGGATTAGATCAGTTTAGGATATCTGGTCTGCATGGACAAGTTGGACCAAAATGTCTGTTTCTGTGCTGTATATCTCTACAACTCTATGATTTTTAACTGCCCTCTGGGCAATTATGGCAATAAATGTGGGTGTAGGCAGTGACAGCCTCATACAGGAATGAATAAAAAAACTGAATTTCTCAATAATGGGTAAGTTATGAGAAAGAATTCTGAGGACCAGAATATATCTGCACTGGGAGCCTGAGAGAGACCTGGATTAATCAGGGCTAGTCAATATGGATTCATTAAGGGACACTCCTATTTGACAAATTTGATTAAGTTTTTCCAGGAGGTAACCAGGAGTATTGACGAGGGTAATGCATTTAGTGTGAGCTGCATGGACTTTCACAAGGCTTTTGATAAGGTCCCTCATGATACACTGGTCAAGAATGTAAGCGATCCAAAGCAAAGTGGTACGTTGAATCCAAAATGGGCTGAAAGGCAGGAAGCAGAGGCTGATGGTAGATGGATGTTACTGTGACTGGAAGTCTGTTTCCAGTGGGGTTCCTCAGGGCTCGGTTTTTGGGCCCCTGTTGTTTGAAATGTACATTAATAATCTGGACTTAAAAGTAGAGGTATGGTCAAGAAGTTCATGGATGATAGAGAAATTAGCCAAGTGGTGAATAGTGGGGAGGTCAGCTGCAAACTGCAGGAGGATATCAATGGAGTGGTCAGTGCGGGAGAGCAGTGGCAAGTGGAATTTAATGTGGGGAATGTGAGGTAACGCTCTTGAGGAGAGCTGACAAGGCAAGGGATTACATTACGAGTGATAGAACCCCGCTAAGTACTGAAAATCAGAGGGACATTGCTGTGCACATTCACAGATCCCTGAAGCAGCATGGCAGGGAGATAAGGTGGTAAAGTAGGCACATTGGACACTTACCTTTGTTAGCCGTTAATTGGAAAATGAGACCATAGAGATGATGCTGGAATTGTATAAAACACTCGTTAGGCCACAACTGGAGTACTGTGCGCAATTCTGGTCACCACATTGTTGCAAAGATGTGACTACATAACAGATGAGCTGTCATTTGCTCATGACAGCTGAGTTTGTTTTCACTGGAGCAGTGAAGATTGAGAGGGAACCTGTTTGTGATATGTTAGATTATGAGGGGCATAGATAGAGTGGAGAGGAAGGTATTAGGAGCTGGATCAATAACAAGGAGATGTAGATTCTAAGGGGCAGAGGGTAAAAGGAGAGCTGAGGAGATTTCTTTTGTCTCCCAGATTTAGATTTAGATTTTATTGTCACATGTACTGGAGTACGAGAATAGAGAAGTACAGTGAAAAGTGTACAAAGCTGCCATTATCTGACACCATCTTCGTATGCAAAAGACAAGGTTAAAAACAGAAGCAGAAATAAAAGAAACAGCCAAAAGAAAAGGAAACGTCCAGATGACTCCTAGCTTCCGCCATAAGTCCTCACACCAGAAAAACAAAGCCACAAAGTCTATCCCTCAGTCTGCAAACACTCATTTAAAGAGTATGTAGATATTCACTTGCATTGCCATAGCCTCCAGAGCTATGGGTAAAAAGCTGGAGGATGGGATTTGTGTCATCAGATCTTTGTTAACCAGTATGGGTGCAATGTATCAAAATGCTTCCTCCTATGATATAAATGTCCATGAGTCGTGTGATTCACTGTAATCAACATACAAAACACAGAAGCCAATTTCCCTGCAGAAAGTTCCCATAAACTGACCAAAGAATCAGAGAATCTATCTGGGTGTTATTAATTGAGAAAATTGGCTTGGAAATAGCACATGGCTTTTCCTGAAAATAGTGCCATGGGATCTTTCACATCCACCTGAGAGGACAGGTGGTGGCTCGACTTAACATCATATCGGAACCAAGGAGCAGCAGTGGATCAATCAGTTCTTCAACAACATAAACAGAAATTGCTGAAAAAGCTCAACAGGTTTGGCAGCATCTGTGGAGAGAAATCAAAGTTAACGTTTTGCGGCCAGGTCCAGAGTTCTCAGGAAGGGTCACTGGACCCCAAATATTAACTCTGATTTCTCTTCACAGATGCTGCCAGACCTGCTGAGCTTTTCCAGCAACTTCGGTTTTTGTTCCTGATTTGCAGCATCTGTAGTTCTTTCGGTTTTCAATCAGTTCCTCAAGCCTGCTCCATTATCCTGTATGATGTAGGCAAAGGGGATTTGTACATACACCGCACCTTTTCCATGAATTAAAGGGGGTCGTGGAGACTGCCAGGCTCAGCTGCATTTGCAACACCCTGGCCAATCAGAAGCTGGTCTGAGCGTTAAGTTCGACCGTTCTTGTTGCTTCTCCAGGCCAATAATGTCCCAAATAATCAGCAATGGGTGTCCCATTTCTTAGGCTGGTTTCTTGCTTCATTGTCTTGACGCATCCAGGAAGAAAAGCTTCAATATCTTGTCTCCTTTCAGTAGTGTACAAGACTGCACCCATTCACTAGTGATGGCACAGTGGCTCAGTGGTGAGCACTGCTACCTCACAGTATCAGAAAGCCAGGTTCAAGTCCAGACTTGGGTAACTGTCTGTGGGGAGTTTGTATGTTCTCCCTGTGTCTGGGTGCTCTGGTTTCCTCCCTCAGTACAAAAAAGAGGTGTAAGTTAGGTTAAACACACAGCTGTGTTAATTGCCCAGGGATATGCATGGTAGGTGGATTAGCCATGGGAAATGCAGAGTGGGATGCTCTTCAAAGGGTCATTGTGGGCTTGATGAATCAAATGGCCTGCTTCCATACTTTAGGAATTCTATGGTGATCTAACCCATCTCACATTGTCAATATATCCTTCAATTTCTTTCTCCCTCTTGTACTTACCCAGCTTCCACCTTAAAGCATCAGTGAAAGAGAGAATAATTTAATTTAATATAAATCTGTTGAGCATCACACTATAGTGCCGTACCATGTATTTTTCCAAATTTTCCGAAAATTTTACCAAAGAAGCTGAAGTAATGGTTGCATGCATGTTAACATTTGCAAGTTTGTCGATGGGCTGTTTAATCTGCACACGGTCAGCTTCAGCTCTAAGTCTGCTCCCAGACCAGCACGACTCAATACTAAACCAACGAGGACAACCTAAGAAAGAAATATTAATGCCATTTTAGAAATGTGCATTTACTTAATGCATTTATTGCAGTAAATTGTCGCAACAAGTCACTTCACAGAAACATTATCGAGCAGAATTTGGATGGCAAGTCACACACACAGGGAGTAGAGTTCAAGTTGGAGCACATTGTTGGGATATAGACCAGTGAGTATTTTGCCATGTCTATCCCTGGACATTTGAGCAGATGTGTAAAGGTGAGTTTGCAGCTAAGTTGAATGTACATAACGCTGACTCATTAGTCTTTAACATTCCTTTCCTTACAGGTATTGGTTTTCCAACTGTATCTGATGTCTGTTATTTTGAAATTTCCACCTCAGCCTCAATTTGCAATTGTGATGCAAAGTGCTTCCTATTGAGGAAATGCACTGCTGTCAGCTAGTGAGCTCACAAGACACCACATCAACTAACCCACCCCCTTCAGCATGGACAATGCACAAACATACAATACCACATCCTCCGCAAATACGTACAATAGTGGCTCAGCCCAAATCCACTCCTCATGTTTAACAAGGTTTAAACACTAGGGCTTTCTTTGGCAGTTTCAATCTCTTATGAGTATCTCATGACATGAACAATGCTAATAAGACTACTTGGAGACTCCTTCCTTCAGTTCAATTGCATTAATGTCACTAAGCCATCTCAGTTAAGTTTCTGGAGGTTTCTGACAACATAAAACTGTTTATTGGCATCATTTAATAATCAGCAAAGTCATCTGCAACAACCATTAGGATGTTTATCTTAGTGCAATCACTCAGGAAGAAAATATTCAAATTTACCAGCTGCTATCTCCCAAACAAATTTCAGTTTTGTGGATCAGCTGGGGAAGTTGTAGATCTGATTGAGGTGTTTATGATCATGAAGGGCAGAGTGGACAGGGCAAGATTGTTCTCATTAGTGGAAGGTCTGAGAAGCAGTCGGCACTGATACAAATTGACTGGCCAAAGAAACAACAGCATAATGAAGAAAATCTGGGGTGTTTGTGCAGTGCAAGTGGTTAGGAGCTGGATATGTGTGTGTGTGTGCAGGGAGATTTAATCTTGGCTTTCAAAGAGAATAAGATATTTACCTGAAGAGGAAACAATTGCAAGGTTAAGGGAACATGCTAAGTGAGCAAGACTAAGTAAGTTGCTCTTGCAGACAGCTAGCATGGACGCAATGGACTGAATGGTCTGTCTTATGTGTTGCAAACTGTTCAATCATTCTCCAATATGACAGCAGGCCTGGGGTTGCAGTGGTAGGGTCCCTACATCTGGACCAAAAGTTCCAGATTCAAGTCTCACTTCAGGACTCAATAGTCAAGGGAAGGCACATCATAACACAACCAAACAGTTTGATTTTCAATCTGTCAATCCTTCTGGTCCACCAATGGTTCACAGCAAGAATGTATGAGCTTTTTGGACAGCCGAAATGTGTACAGTAGCAGCACCAAAACAGCCTCCCCATTTTGAATTCCTTATAGAAACATACATAACAGGAACAGGAGTAGGCCATTCAGCCCTTTGAGACTGCTCCACCATTCAATATGATCATAGTTGATCATCCAACTCAGTCCCCTGTTCCTACTTCCACCTCATAAGGCCAAATATTTGTAGGTTATGTGGATTGACCATACTAAATTGCCCCGTAGTATTCAAGGATGTGCAGGTTAGGTGGATTGGCCGTGGTAAATGAGAAGTTAAAGGGATAGGGTCAAGGTGTGGTGCTGGGTGGGATGCTCTTCGGAGGGTCAGTGCAGACTCAATGGGCTGAATGGCCTCTATCTGCACTGTTGGGGTTCTATGACTCATACCTTTAGCCCTAAGAACTGTATCTAACTCCTTCTTGAAAACATTCTGTGTTTTGGCTTCAACTGCTTTCTATGGCCAAGAATTCTATATGGCACACCACACTCTCTGGGTGAAGACATTTCTTCTCAGCTCAATACTCAATGGCCTACCCTTAAACTGTGAGTCCAGACTGCATGAGCGGGATCTTGCTATGTCATTCATCTTCCAATATGATGTTCCTTCACCCCTACCGAACCCTCAGCACAAGGACTGCTGTGGTTCAACAAGGCAGTTCACCATCACCTTCTCCAAGTCAATTGAGGATGGACAATAAATGCTGGTTTAACCAGTCACGCCTACAAGCTGGGAAGGAATAAAAAAAACTCCCCTCACACGTGCACTCATGCTCATGCTCATTCTCACATTCCTTTGCCTACACATCCACTAATGTTCATATTCTTATACAGTCACACAACACAGAAACTGTCCAACCAGTCTATGCCGACCATAATCTCAAACTAAACTAGTCCCACCTGCCTGCTCCTGGCCTATATCCCTCCAACCCTTTCCTATTTATGTACTTATCCAAGTGCCTTTTAAACGTTGTAGCTGTGCTTACATCCACCAACTCGCTGGTACACACACAGACATCTACCCATATTCAGTCATTCACTTTACAATCACGTTATTGAGAATCAGACTTCAGGTGAAGGAAGACCATTAAAGGATAGAAAGTGAAGAGACATTTTGTCACACTATCATACTAATCTCGTTATGGTGCCACTTTCATTGGCCATTGTCCGTCAACTCACTGGTATTCATTTCCTTCTTTCTTTGTTTCTCAAATGTGGTCAGCACAGACAAGTTGGACCAAAGGTCTGTTTCCGTGCCGATAACTCTATGACTTGATAAGGGCACTGCCAGCTCTCTTGTGTACCCAGTGGACTGTGAGGCATACAAATAGCACGAACAACGTTGCAGTGAATGGGACAGACATAGAGTTGATTTAAATGGTGTTATTTGAAATGCAAATAAAAGGCACCGTATGAACTAATGTACATTCATTTTGGATGAGTGCATCAGCAAACATGTATTGTCCATTCCTCTGTGAGAACTCAGTCCCAATCTCTTGCGAAGCCTTCAATAAAGATTATTCTATAGCTGGTGGTAATGTCCTTTGATAAATCAGTGTGGCATTGAAGAAATTTATGGTGCATGCATAACACATTTTTAAAAAGAGGAATTTATGACCATACTTAATGACAGGTTCACAATAGCACGTGGATTAGGTTAATAGGGTAGTTAAGAAGACAGGTTAATAGGGTAATTATGAAGGCATATGGGATAGTTGCCTTTATCAGTCATGGCATAGAGTGTAAAAGCAAAGTAGTAATGTTGGAGCTGTATGGAACATTGGTTAGGCCACTGCCAGAGTGCCGTGTGCAGTTCTGGTCACCGCAGTATAAGAAGGATGTGATCATGCTGGAGAGGGTGCAAAGCAGATTCACCAGGATGTTGCCTGGGATGGAACATTTCAGCGCTGAAGAGAGGCTGGATAAGCTCGGATCAAAAACAGAAGTTGCTGGAAAAGCTCAGCAGGTCTGGCAGCACCTGTGAAGAAAAAATCAGAGTTAATGTTTCGGGTCTGGTGACGAACTTAAGCTCGGGTTGTTTTCCTTGGACCAGAGAAGGTTGAGAGGGACCTATTACAGGTCTATAAGATTATGAGGATCATGAACAAGGTGAATAGAAGGCAGCTGTTGCCCTTAGTTGACAGGTCAATAACAAGGGGGCATAATTTTAAAGTGAAAGGCAGGAGGTTTATCAGGGATTTCAGGAAAAACCTTTACACCCAGAGGGGCATGAATGCACTGCCTGGGAGGGTAGTCAATCCACCTAACCTGCACATCTTTGTACTGTGGGAAGAAACCAGAGGCCACACAGAGAATGTGCAAACTCCATGCAGACAACTGCCCAAAGCCAGAATTGAACATGGTGCTGTGAGGTAGCAGTGCTAACCACTGAGCCACCATGTCACAGTGTGTCACAGATCATGGCTGGTCTGATAATCCACAACTCCACTTTCCTATCTCATCTCCATGTCTCCAAAATCAACACACCTGCACTTTGCCCAAAAATGGGAAGATTCCATCCATTGTTCCTCTCTCCAACAACAACAATGACTTGCATTTATGCAGCTCCTTTAATGCAAAAATTCACTGGAGTGTCATCAAACAAAATTAAACACAGAGCTAACTAATAGGGCTTGGTTCACCAAAGCACTGGATATTAAAGAGCATCTTAAAAACAGCAATACTGGTAGAATCGTTTCGGGAGGGATTTCTGAACTTATGGCCTCAGCAACTGAAGCCACAGATACCAAAGTTGGCTTGGTGACTGTCAGTGATGCTCGGGAGGCCAGAACTGAGGAGACACAGCCATCATGAAGGGGTGAAGGGCTGAAGAAGGCTACGGAGAGATGGAGTGATTTGAAAATCAGGCGAGTTTCAAGACTGTGGTGTTGCTTTGGCAAGAGCCAACAGAGACACATCATTGCTGACCAGAGTTTTGTATACAAACAGCGCAACTTTGCGGGAGCTCATGTTTATGAAGATGCAGGTCAACCAGCATCGTATTGGACTAGTCAAGACTAGAGTTAACAAGGACACAGATAAGGGGACCTCACGTGAGCTGAAGGTGAGGTGGTATGTTTTCCAGTATTTCCGATTAGATATTTCCAGCAACTGTAGTATTTCACCTCAGGCATAATGGTGCAAATAACGATTGCTTCCCAGTGAAAGTTCTTGAGTCTTATTCCATTGTATGCTTCTCTCTGTGAGCTGGCCCTGTCATACTTGCTCTGTGGTGATCATCACAAGAGGTCATCAGCTCGATCCTGGGAAAGCAGTGATCTCAGCCTTCAACAGGCAATCATCCCAACTGGCAAAATGGCCCGTATGAATGTGTAAAACTGATTCTCAGTTTAGCATTCGCCAAGCATCGAGTTTACTGAATGCCTTTTCTGCATCTCTTCACCGGGTGATGGAATGCATGACAGCTGCAGTTTTAAAGGCATCAGGAAATATTCACCTTTCACATTGAACTTTGGCCCTCCTTGCTTGTTGGTGCTGACTCACATCAGTGCAGGAATTCAGGGCATCAGCTGACTGCTGGCGTCATGCCGACAACATCATTCAAGCCTCATCAGCCATGACGGGAAACTCCGACAGCTTGTTTGACTGTGGGTGTGAAAATAAAGACTTGCATTCATATAGCGCCTTTCATGTCCTCAAAACAAATCACAGCCAATGAAGTACTTTGGTAGTGTATGTGGTCACTCTTTCAATGTAAACATCATGTGGGATCTTTTCCAAGCACCTGAATTTAAAGTCTCATCTGAAGGAAGCCTTTCTGACAGTGCAGCTCACTCTGAGTAACCAAAATAGTGTGCCATGTTTATGCAATTGGACTTGAACTTGAATTGACTGACTCTTATAATCACAGAATAGGAACAAGACATAAGGAGGCTGTTCAGCCCATCATATCATAATGGCCAGTTAAGCCAGCTCTCCTGTATTTTCCCCACAGCCCTGCAATATGTAATGTCTGATCAATGTGTAACTTCTAACCTTATTTCTTACGTTTTATGCTATACTATAATTACTACTAAGTTTAACTTTTAACTTTGTTCTTTCTTTCTAGTTTATTCGTAAGATTCTGTACCAAGATACTTGCACCTAAGATGGCGCCTTGTATGGTGACATTATACACTTCTCACTGTGCTCCTGTACGTTTGTACTAGAGTACATCTGACAATAAAATCCAAATCAAATGTCTATCTTTAACAGCTTATCCAAACCGGACTGAATTGGTCTCCTTCACACTGCTCAGGCTGTACATTCCAGATTTGAAACACTCACTAATTTAAAAAAACTTTTCTCACGTTGCTATTTGCTCTTTAGCCAAACACCATAAATCAGTGACTTCTGGCTCTCAACACTTGTGCCAATAGCCTATCTCCTCTGTCCAGGACCTTCAGGGGTTTTGAAAATCTCGATCTAATCTCTTGACCTTCTCTTTGCTAAGGAGAACAACACCTGCTTCTCCAAAGTATTCACATAACTGCATCTCTCATCCCTGGAGTCATTCTCATAAACCTTTTCAACACCCTCTTCAAAACCTTCCCATCTTCCCTAGAGTGTAATGCCTAGAATTATACACAATGCTCTAGAATCATTGACTCCCTACAGTGTGGAAGCAGGCCATTCAGCCTGTCAAGTCCACTCCGGACAGCATCCCTCCCACACCCAAACCCATCCCTGTAACCCTGTATTTCCAATGGCTAATCCATCCAGCCTGTACATTCCTGGACATTATGGCCATTTATCATGGCCAATCTACCTAACCTGCACATCTTTGGTCTGTGGGAGGAAACTGGAGTGGAATAACTGCACAGAGGCTGGTATCCCATCACCAAATCACCCTTTATTTACCTGTACTATAGCCAGCCAGCTCAGAGTTAGTCCCCTGAACTGAAGAGATTCTAAATCTCCTGGTTATATATATTTATTATTCTATTTTTTCTTTTTTCTAGTGCACATTACCGCTGGCTGTAGCCAGCCAGCTTGGAGTCAATTCTCAACTGAGGAGATCTCCTGGTGATATTAGTCAGCCAGGGCTTTCCTGATTGGTCAGGTTAACAACCCCAATCAATGACCTCTTTGTCAATGAGGTCAACCTGGTTCCAATCACTACACAGAGCAAGCACATGCAGACACAGGAAAGATGTGCAAATTCCACACAGACAGCTATCCGAGGGTGGAATTGAACCCAGTTCCCTGGCGCTGTGAGGCAGCATGCTAACCACTGAGCCACCATGCCGCTCTACTTGAAAGCATTTTACACAGACTCATAATGACGTCTTGCTTTTGTTCTCAATGCCCCTGTTTATAAAGCCAGGGATCCCATTCACTTGATTGACCATATTCTCATCCTGCCCTCTCACTGTCAATGACTTGTCAGAGCTGAAAGTGCAATTGGCTGAGCGACAGCTGACACCACTGCATTACCTGTATGACTGGTCACATCCTTTTCCCTCTCTTTAGCATTGGTTGCAAAGGCCACATTCTATCCTTCTACAGATGAGCCTGCTCAGGCCAGCCAAATCAGTAGAGGAGGGGCATCATAAATGGGATCTTCCTGTTGTGGACAGCCAAGGGCTACAGCAGGTGGTGTAGTTATGTGTTAAGTCATGGGGTTTGTGGAATTGTCAGCACTTCAGTCTTTTTCAGGGGATAAGTGCTATGTAACTGATATAACACATTTTAGCTTGCAATCTTCTAACCACCGTGACAAAAATGAAAGAGATTTTATCAACATTGATGTACTTTTCAAACTAACAAAGCTTTAGTGCACATAAAGCTACTTACAATGGGCCATTTGATGGTTAGATTAAGTCCGCTAACAATAGCAGGCACTCTGCCTGATTGAGCCATGCATGGACACATAACATCTGCAATATCTGAATGTGGTTACCCACACTCCAGATGTTGCTGTAAATATTTGACGCCCTCTGATCTTCTGGGGTTTTGCAAAACATTTTCTGTGATGTGTTTACAAGAGCTAAAAATCTGTGTTGATGTAAGGCTTACGTCAGTGTAACCTACACATGTCTTCCTGGCTGACGGTAAGTAACTTTTAGCTACCTTTTCATGATCAGGATTGAGTTATCTGGTTAAACTGTTTCAATGTTCACTGAGTGAAATGTGTACACTTTACAGAGACAACATTGACTAAACTAGGAAGTTATATCATCTCCGATATCCCAGCATGCAGAGGTGTATTAAATGATAGACAGCAGATGGCTGCAACGTCAAGCGGGGACATCAATTGAACCTAGGATAAAGACGAGCAAAGCTCCTGAATGGTACATGGAAGACTTCTGTTGGAAAGTGCAGAGGTTAGGCAGCATGGTGGCTCAGTGGTTAGCACTGCTGCCTCACAACACCAGGGCCATAGGTTCAATTCCAGTCTCAAGTAACTGTCTGTGTGGAGTTTGCACATTCTCCTCATGTCTGTGTGGTTTTCCACCAGGTGCTCTGATTTCCTCCCACAATCCAAAGATGTGCAAGTCAGGTGGATTGACCACACTAAATTGCCTGTAGTACTCAGGGATGTGTAGATTAGCCATGGGAAATGTTTGGTTATAGAGTAATGGGATAGGTCTGGGTGGGATGTCCTTCAGCAGGTCGCTGTGGACTTATTGGGCCAAATGGCCTGTTTCTACACTGTAGAGATTCTCTGAAATAAATCTATTCAAGGTGTGGGTATCAGTTACAACTTTAGCCCATAAGTCCAACATTGAAACTCTTGGTTATTCATTCTGACAGTGGACAGGCTCATGTGCTCTATTTGACCCTGAGATGAGCTTCAAGTCATCAATAAGCCCAGCTTTTTCCATCTTGGCTTCATCTCACTGCCACTGCTGCCTTTATCCTCATCTTTTCCAGCTTTGGCTTGATTAATCTCATTCTCTTTTTGATGTCTTGACTCCTTTCCAAAAACTCAGTTAAAAATTTGCAGTGCACATTTTATTTGTGTTTATGACCTACTGCTCTATTAATACCGTCGTCCCTCATCTTCATGGGACCTCGATGTGTTGAGTTCGAAATCCTTGTTCTTAACTACAATTCCTTCTGATTTCCAAATGCATACCTACTACAAACTGTGATTTCCAAACAATAGGTAACTGAATATGACCTCTGCTCTTTCGAACCAGGCTGTCTTTGTACCCTCACTGCTATCCCACTGAGATCAGCCTCTTCAAAAATTTAAAAAGACACAAGGGGCAACATTTTTGACATGGTTAGTGCATGGAATACAAGGCAAGAGGAAGTGGTATATGCAGGTACATTGCAATGTTTAAAAGTCATTTGGATTAGTGCATGAATAGGCAAGGCTTGGGAGTTTAGTTTGGGAACATGGTTGGCATGGACTAGTAGGACTGAAGGGTCTGTTTTGTTCTGTATGACTCAATGGCTCTCTAACACAGTATCCAATTATCTGTAATACGTTTTGGATACTCTATTACATGCCACATTCTCTGTAAAAACACAAGTTGCTACTTATGATGTGAACTAGATTGGGTATCTGTGCTAGTTCATGGTCGAAAGCCTGTCACTGCTCCCTGTAATGGTTCAAATTGAAAGTATTACCAGTTGGATTGTGCAAGGGCTGATATCTTCAGCGATGATGGCTGGATGAAGGTAACAGTGGCTGTGTGTGCTGGTGAGAGAAGGAGAGATACCTTGGAGTAAAACGAAATGCTGTCAAGCTATGAATTCTCTGTTGTGCCATTTCACTGTTCTTACAAGGTGAAAGAGCATCAAAATCAGCTTTAGATTGCTGGCAGCTAAAAATGAGCGACATGGCATCAGATGTTAATTGAAGTGGTTTTGTTAATGGACTGTACAGGAAACAAAACACATTCAACATTTGTTAGCTATGAAATGTTGCATACATCACCAAATTAACATGGTAAAGCAACATTAATCGTTTATCTGTTTTAGTTTTGAGACAGAAAAGGAATTCATTTCTGCAAAGCAACAGGTAATACAACACAACATGACACTGTAGCATCATAATGTATGGTGTCTATATACTAACTGTACAGTTACTGTTCACCTCCTTTTTAATAATGCCGAACAGAGGCCTAGTGGGTGCAAGTACATAGGTCCTTGGACATGGAGTCACAAGTTGACAGAGAGATGAAGAAGGCATTGGGAATGTTTGCTTTCATTGATCGGTGCATTGAGTATAGGAGTTAGGATGCCCTGTTGCAGCTGTACAGGACATTGATGAGGCCACTTCTAAAATATTGCATTCAATTCTGTTTGCCCTTCTAAAGGAAAGATGTTGTTTAACTTGAAAGGGTTCAGAAAAGAATTACAACAATGTTACTGGGATTAGAGAGTTTGAGCTGTAGGGGGAGGCTGAATAGACTGGGACTGTTTTCCCCGGAGCATCAGAGGCTGAGAGGGTGACCTTACAGAGGTTTATAAAATCGTTAGGGACATGGATAGGATGAACGGCCAAGGTCTTTTTCTCAGGGTAGGAGAGTCCAAAACTAGACGGCATTGGTTTAAAGTGAGAGGGGAAAGATTTAAAAGGGACTTAAGGGGCAATGTTTTCATGCAGAGGGTGGTGCGTGTATGGAATAAGCTGCCAGAGGAGGTGGTGG